CCATCGGTTTTTGTTCTTCTTGTATAGAATTATTCCCTGCAAATTACTGAAGTTTTACTTGTCACACATAATGTTATTTGAGATTGGAAATCCCTGGTTGCTCCCTATTTTACTATCCACAAAACTGTGCACAGCTGGGATATGATCCATTATTACTTATTCACTACAACGTAGGATAGTTTATCCAGAGCATAAAAAGAAGTGACGGAGTCTGCTGGAAGAGAACAGTCGCATTCCAACAATTCAGCTTGCTTATAACCGCATCAGTTGTCCCCTGTTGGTTGTAGCCCTGCAATTGTTGAGCATTACCTTATACTTTAAACAGCCTTTATCTTTGGAGGGACTGGAGAACATTTCATTAAAATTATCATGAAACTGACAACCAACGCCAGCTATAAATAGTTTTGCTGTGTAACCCAATAGGCTATAAACATTTCCTACTCCAATATAAAGAGGTAAATAGGAAGCATGGGGGAGTCTTATTGAATCTGGAAGCTCAATTTTACTCTGTCTCTTTCCCATTTCAGCTGTTGAGATAGAGAGAGAGAGAGAGAACACAAGAGTTGCTTCTAAAGCAGCTTCTGGTGCCTTTGGCTTACCTTAATTTCATCTTCACGGCAATTAGCACTCATGATGAACAGAATGCTTGTGTTGACAAAAAAAAATTTCAAGACATTTAAAAGCAATGTATCAAGATCTTTTAAAATCAGAGACAAAAAATCGGTCACTGTTAGGCTACCCATAAGGCTGATGTCCAGGGCTTCTATCAGCTAGAGAGTTGTGATTTAGAATAAAACAGTATATGCATATGACTATACCTGCATATATATTAAAAATACAATGACACACATATGGAAGGTGGTTTCAATTTTTTTTTCCAACAAGAACAAAGCATTGAAAAAGTCTGAATACCACTTTTGAAAAGTAAAATCCAAACTCCTGTGCAAGGCACGGAATGCTCTTCACCACTAAGCCCTAAGCTGTGTTCAAGGATATGCTCAGAACATGATTTCCTTTCCTCCTACAGGCGTCCAGCCTGCAGCCCAGGGCTACAACTCAAGCCCAGGGCTGTCAAACTAGAGGAGGCAGAGACAGATAAGGAGTTGAGAATTTAATTAAGAGGGAGATTCTCATGCCCTTAGTCTCAGAAATTCTAAATCATTATTTCTAGGTCATTTTCTAAGAATCTGCCTTTTTAACAAGTGCATTTTAAAATTGTTGTTGTTGTTGAGGAAGATTCACCCTAAGCTAACATCTTGTGCCCATCTTCCTCTATTTAGGATGTGGGTCTCACCACAGCATGGCCACCCATGTGTGGTGTAGGTCGGTGCACAGGAACCAAACCCCAGCCACTGAAGTGGCATGTGCTGAACTGAGCCAGTAGGCCACAGGGCCAGCCCCCTTAACAAGTGCATTTTTGAAAAACATGGGTTTAACCACACATATTAGTCATTATTCTTCATTTCTGAACCCTTACTTATTCCATTCCCATTGCTAAGAAAATTCTTTATCCTTTGGGGCAATTAACTCCTAGTGATAGCTGAAGTCCAAAATCTACATCTTTTTTCTCTGTCATAATTTTTCCCCATGTGTGTTCCACTGTCATTATGTATGTATCTCCATTTTATTTCCAGCTTAAACCATAGATCACAAACTAGAAGCATCCTCACCTGGGAGCTTGTTAGAAGTGAAGAATCTCAGGCTCCACCCCAAATTGATTCAATCAGAGTCTATTTTTTAACAAGATCCCAAGTTGATTCTTGTGCACATTAAGGTTTAAGTACATATTTACATATTTCACAGTAGTTATTTGTTTTAAGGTTCTAAGTCTCTCTCTCTCTCCACTGATAAAGCAAGAATTTCTCCAAGAGATGGAGTCTTAGGAAACATCATTTCCTCAGCTTTCAGCACAAAACAAATATATAGTAAGTACTCACTATGAATATGTTAAATTGGAAATGTGTTTGTGAAAGAATTCTTTATCTACAAAGGAAAAGAAACATAAACATGTAAGAAAGAATAAAGATTAATACAAAACAGGAATAAAGAGATGTGTGAAAAATGTACTAGAAACAGAACTCTATTATAAGATACTTCATTTTCAGATACAATTTCAAACGATTTATTTACTTTTGTAACACAGCAAGCCTATACAAGCAATGCTTAATGCCGCTGGCCTAACTTAAAATTTAGTATTCTATTTTGCCCCAAGTTCCAATGTCAAAAAGGTGTTCTACTATGTTATGAATAACACAAAGCATTACCATAGAAACATTAGGATATCTGTTTACGTTAGTGATTTTAAAACGAATTTGTACGTTTCTTAAAAATCTTCAATGTGGAGTCAACTGCCTTGAAAATCCTGATGCAGGGGTCCTGGGGTGAGGCTAGAGATCTGCATCATTACCCTGCTCTCTAGGAGGTTCTGATTCAAATCGTTATGAGAAAGCCCTCGACTGAAAATGCAGTTTCTCTTTGTTATGGGTGGAATTGTGTTCCCCCAAAAAGATATGTTGAAGTCCCAACCCCGAGTACCGAAACTGGAAAGAGGGTAGTCGCAGATGTAATTAGTTAAAATGAGGTAATACTGGAATGGGGTGGCTCCTTAAGCCGGTATAACCATCCCTATAAGAAGAGGAAAGAGAGAGACTTCAGGAGAATGCCAGGTGAAGATTGAGGCAGAGATTGGAGTGATGGTCAACAAGTCAAGAAACGGCAAGGATTGCCAGCTGATCCCAGAAGCTGTGAGAGAGGCATGGAACAGATCCTCAGAGCCTTCAAACGGATGCTTGTCTTGCATCAGCTTGATTATCGCTCTTGTTCTTGCTGTCACAGAGAACAGCAGTTCTCAAACATGAGCATGTGTACCATGATCTCATTTGCTTGTTTGAGATTCCTGAATTCTACTCTCTATCAACAGAATCTATAAGGGTGGTTACTGGGCATCCACTCCCTTCTGATACAGCTGACCTGCTGAGTACTCTTTAAGGTTTGAGTTCCCTAGACTCAAACATATCTCATTGAAGATTAGTAGGTGATTCAAGCCATAGGACACCATTAGATTGCATGTCTCATTTTAAATACCATAGAAGTAACCGAAGTAAGGCTTTGTATCTGAGCTTTCTCATTTCAAAGTCTATGCACTATGTCTATGTCAGAGCTTTTACCTTGAAGGCCATTTTTGGAGGGAGGGGATATGGATTTCTCAGGTTTGTAACCAGAGCATCTGAATTACACAGAAACTTTTCCTGTGGAGAGAATTTGTTTTTGTTGTTGTTGAATTTTTGAAAATTGCCTGCAGAAGACGATGAGCAAAGGAGAGTCGTTGAAGTAAAGGGCATCTTTTGTGAAGCCTTGGGGTGTTCGGGGGCTTATGTGGTGGGAGGCAAGGGAGAGGGCCCTCTCCTCTCTGATGCACAGAACATAGCACCCCTGTGGCAATCTGTAGGGTGCCCTAGCATTTGAAAGTGTTTGGAGGTGGCATCCTTGGCATGACATTGGCAATCTCATCAAGGGCACTAAAAAAACTGGCAAAAAGATTTCTTTCATCAACTTTCGAAGAAATAAACATCAGCCCAATTTCTCACTATTAAGTTCTAGGCTCAAAGGTCACTTCATTGTTTTTTCACTGCACTTTCTGCAATAGCAGTCATTGCCCCAGTTATTCTAGCAGGATATTCTAATCAAATTTCTTCCTAACTCTTACCGGTCTCTGAAATGATCCTGTGTTTTCATTTGTTTGTTTGTACAATATTGGTTTCTCCCACCTCCATGGAAGTTCTTGGACGACATGAACCTTGACTGTACTGATCACAACCTTATCTTCAGTCTGGAGACATACTTGGAATATTCAAGGGCTCGGAAGTATTGGTGGAATGATTGAATAAATAATCCAGGGAGCTGGATCAGGAGAGGATCAATATGGCCAAGGTGTACAGTAAATCAGTAGATAGGATAATTTGGGAACTTTTCCAGGACATGCATTTTGAATCAACCAGAAATCACTTGGGGTGTTTGGGGTTCACAGTGTTTCATGTTCCGGTAATCATGATGTTAAAGTCTCAAGTATACAATTTTGGATAAGAATATATATAACAGGATTAAGTACTTATATATGTAAGTCTATATTATTTGGATCTCTCTCTCTCTGTCATATACGCATACACACATTTAAAAAATACTGAAAGCTAAAACAGCATAATGAACATTAAAACCAAAGTAATTGGTATCACTAAGTAGAAAGCACTTTTTCATATTTTCAATTTACTAGAAGCAGCACAAATTTATATTAAGATTAGCAAAACAAACATTTAAGAAACTTTAGTGTTCATCCTATTATGCATTGAGGTGCACTAGTATGTGAGATAAATGGTCACTGATTTCATGGGCTCCTGTTTGGAAATTCAAACAAGTAAATGTCCGTTTGACGTGGAATAGTTCAGTGCCATTACAAAGGAAATAGAAAATGTTGTAAGGAGTGCAAAGGTGTGTTACTAAGCCAGATACAGAAGAAATCATGAAAAAAACACCTTTCAAGAGATGATGGTGTTTAGGCTGAGACACAGATGAGTGAAAACTATGTAAGGGAAGGGTGTGTGAGTATGAGTTGGAGTGTATGTATGCATGTGTATTTGCATGTGGGCATTTTGTAGTTCCATCAGGGGCAGGGATGAGGCATAGCTAGAGCTAATAACAGGAGATGCTCCACCTCATTAGGGCCCAGAAAAAGTGATGATTAAGATAGAAGTATTTTTTCATCCATTTAGTTGATAAAGATGAAAAATTTGACAATCTTAAGTGTTGTAGCAAATGTGGGTCGAGAAGGTTGCATATATATTGCTGGTAGGGATGTAAACTAGTACAACCATTTCAGACAACTGGGATTACTTTGTAATTTAACCTATTCATACCCAGTAACTCTAATTTTAGATACATATCACTCACCAAAAAAATTCTTGTGTATATTCACTGGTAGATAAGTATAGGTATTTTCATTGCAGCACTGTTCGTATGGAAAAATGATAAGCGTGTACCATGCAAAGAGGATCATTATTCACTTAATTCTGTATAACTGAGGTCCAGTGAAAGGGGAAAAGATATGCAAGGACTCGTCATCGTGGTAAGTAGACTGTGTTAACTGTGTTGATAATCTTGACTGAAATGGAAGCAATGGAATGGAGACAAGGGGAAGGACGAGAGATGTAGTTATTAGGTACCAGTGATGGGATTTGTTGACTGGTTGTGGGGATCGAGAAGGGAGGAATGTAAATGACTTATAGGGCCAACTGGATTTGTGATAATGTCAATTACTGAGATATTAAAAATAGGAGAGGAAGCCAGTTTAGGAGATGGGAAGAAGAGTGAGATTGATTTCAAACTGAATAGGAAAGTATTAACCTAAATATTAGCTACTCTTATGTATCCCACAGCCATTTGCAGAGGACTGGGTGTTCAATAGTTTCTTTGAATGTTCCATAATTTCTTATATTGAAAAAAATAACATCCTGGAATATTATCTTGGGTTGTTGTTTCTACATTGTGCTTGAAACTGAGACATGGATAGTCACCATGGGATCCCTGGCATCATGGCTCAATAATTTTTAAAACATAAGAATAGATTGTCTATCCATTTATTTCAAAATAAGAGGCTGTTTCCTGTTGTTTGTGCCATTGTATATTCATAGATCACTTTTTAGAGCTCTCTTATCATTCCTGACACTTGAGAAGAAGATATTATCCTAAGTTGGCACTTAGTTTATCTGCATGTGGGGTGGTTTGTTTTCCTCTTGTTGATCCTTGAAGACTTTCATTTGTCTCTCCCATATGGCAAAAATGGGTACATATTTTGTGAGCATCTGCAAGGCAATATTTAATATCCTCACATTCCTAAGAAATTATGTTCAAGCTGACACGTTTTCACAACCAATGTAGTAAAAATGTGCAATGTCACACTGCCTGAGCAGAATAAGAATCAATTGTCAGTTTTACTAAACATTAGGAATGTTATCTGATGCTCTGTAATTTACTTTGGACAAAACTGCATATTAATTTATTTGACCGTTCAGTGTGGTTCTTTGTTTATTTTTTTCCTATTTGATCCAAATGTTCATCAGAATAAAGTAGAATTAGAATGAAGTCTGAGAGACAAAAGTAATACGATATTGCAGATGACAGCATGAACTTCAAGTTTATATGACCTGTTCATACCAGATGAGACTCGAAATTCTTGAGTGATGATGCAGCTTAGAGAATTTTTAACCTCGAAAACAAAAACTCAAATCCCCTGACGCTTCTTTTATATAAAATATTTTTAACACTTCTTTTGGAGTTATCTTCAGAGTCAGATTATAGGCCACATTAGGCAATAAGTACCATTGCTTCCATTTTCAAACCAAAATTGTATTGCCAGTTGTCAAACTCATTATTCAGTCACTTTGCCACTGTAAGAAAACCTTAGATGCTTCCAAAGTTTCAATCCAGCTTTAAAGGGCAAATGTGTTTTCACGATTGAGAGGATATAAATAGCTGTGCTACAGGAGACAGCACTAATTTAGATCTATAACATCTTAAATGCTCTTACAAAATCTGTTGCATAGCTTTAAATTCATGTCTTCTGTTCTAAGCTGAGTATGATGCACATGATATTCCCCCCAGGAAGTTTTCTAAAAAGTGCAGAGATTCCTAAACACTGCTGTTAAAATCTCTATCTTATTCCTCTAAATTAAGGGTCAGCAAATTTTTTCTGTAAAGAACCAAACAGTGAATATTTTAGGCTCTGTGGTCCATTTTGCCTCTACAGCAACTACTCAACTCTACCATGGTAACCAGAAAGCATGTATAACCAATAAATAAACAAATAGGTATGATTGTGTTCCAGTAAAACTTTCTTTACAAAAAGTACGCAGCAGGGTCCATGGACCATAGTTTACCAACCCCTGATCTAATTGATCTGATTTCTCTACTAAGTAGAAGTAACATATGCTTTTTACTCTAAGAAATAATTAGTAAGTGATGGAAAGGTATGTAATGAGCATTGTGTAGCATATACACAAGGTTAAATATCATTGATGGAACTAAGGAAACATCCTCTGTGTGTTGGAGAGGTTTTAATTCATCTAGTTGTTCATCCTACCAATATTTATTGAATGAATAGTAAATAACAGCCTTTATGGTGGTAACAGGAGAAATAGTGATGGAAAAAGCACACAGGCCCAGTCTAAGGAAGCCTGCATTAAATGCTTTGAGGAGCACACATGTGCTTTGGAATCGCATCCTCCGCTATGAGAGTTAAAAGAGTTAAAGAAAGATCTCTTAGATCTTTTTCTTCTTCTTTTTTTCCATTTCAGATTTCCAAGTCTTTCCATATCCAAAGTAGCAGACTGGATTATTATGGAAAGAATAAGTAAGACAGGGAGGAAAGAGAACAAAGTGCTACTGTATAGGTAATGAAATTATAATGTAGAGCGCTTATAAAATTTGATCAAAGTCAAGTCTAAAGTGATGATGGAAACAGTGGAAATGCATATGGTAGCATCATTTTCCAATCTATTTTAGTACATTTTTTTCCTAGAAGAAATGGCATCTACCATTTAGGAAGGACACTCCAAGTTGCTCTGTATAGGTTACCCCTTCGATCCTAAAGAACAACCATCTTATGAGTTTGAAATTATTTTTCGCATCTGCCACATATTAAAACTAAAGTTTAGAAAAAACATGCTGGTCAACCAAGGAAAAAAAGCCAGATTAAATTAGAACTCAAGTCTTAACACCCCAAATATATCTGTGCTGCTTACCTTATAATTTGTGCAAAAGAAATATTAATAGCACATTGAAATTATCATGAGTACTATTATAAAGATATTATATTGATATATACAAATATGCTATATATATATAAAGATATTATAAAGATAGCAAACTTCCTCCTTTATTAAAATCTTAAAACTTGGCTTATATTAAGCAGTGAACACCATGCTTCTCTTCTCACGTTTTTTAATTCATTTTTAGGAAAAGAACTCTTTAGATTTTACCTTCCTTTGCGAATAGTTTTAATAACTGCTCAGTCACAATAGTAGAATACATACTTACTATAAAATATTATCAATATCAACTGGTGTTTAAAGATACCTATTTTTCATAACAAGCAAGTCAACTACTTTATCTGGCACTCAGGAGATGACAATCTGCTCCCACCAGAGCAAAACCCAGCTGGAAGGCTTCGTGGAAAAGTTTTGTGTTCATCTCTCATGGGGCAACTTTCTCTAATACATTTTGCAGAGAAACTTTGACTTCATGATGTTTTCACCTAATTGCAAACTAATCCCAGTAGAAAAAATAATTTCACTCTTCCCACTATACCAACCTCATAGAATAATGATTAAAATTCAAAGAGAAAACGCTTTTACTAGGCACTGTACTGAGTATAAGATTCAATAAGTGCTCTGATTCTAGCTTCTACTGAGAGAAACAATACAAGCTACTGCCAGGGGAAGTACATCTTGTCATTATCTGTAAGAAAATGAGGATAAACTAAGTGTCTTCATGTCTCCTTCATCTTAAAACTGAATAGTTTGATAATTCTATTATAGTCGTATAAAATGCAATGTTTAATACTTCTTGTCAATTTCAGCTCTAGCCTCATACCCATACAGTATAAGATTATTTTGATCATATCACATTTCACTTTTTATATTTGAGTTATCCTAGGATTACTATTTATATGGTCATCTTATTAAAACATTATTTACCTAGAACAGATGTACTTTTCTATGTCATATGTAATTTAAATTTAAAAAAAATCTCGTTTCCCTTGCCCGGTCAGACATGGGACTTGAAAATATGCTGCTCAGACCAATGTCATAGAGCGTACTGCCTATGTTTTCTTCTAGAAGTCTCATGGTTTCGGGTCTTACATTCAAGTCTTTAATCCATTTTGAGTTGATTTTTTTGCATGGTGTAAGGGAATGGTCTACTTTCATTCTTTTGCATGTGGCTGTCCAGTTTTCCCAGCACCATTTATTGAAGAGACTCTCCTTTCTCCACCGTATGCTCTTGGCTCCCTTGTCGAATATTAGCTGTCCATAAACATGTGAGTTTACTTCTGGGCTCTCAGTTTTGTTGATCTGTGTGTCTGTTTTTGTGCCAGTACCATGCTGTTTTGGTTACTATGGCTTTGTAGTATAATTTGAAATCGGGGAGTGTGATACCTCCAACTTTGTTCTTTTTTCTCAGGAATCCTTTGGCTATTCGGGGTCTTTTGTTGTTCCATATAAATTTTAGGATTCTTTGTTCTATTTCTGTAAAAAATGTTGTTGGAACTTTGATAGGGATTGCGTTGAATCTATAGATTGCTTTAGGAAGTATGGACATTTTAACAATGTTAATTCTTCCAATCCAAGAGCGCGGACTATCTTTCCATTTCTTTGTGTCTTCTTCGATTTCTTTCAACAATGCCTTATAGTTTTCAGTGTACAGGTCTTTCACCTCTTTTGTTAAGTATATTCCTAAGTATTTTATTCTTTTTGTTGCAATTGTAAATGGGATTGTATTCTTAATTTCTCTTTCTGCTACTTCGTTGTTAGTGTATAGAAAGGCAACCGATTTTTATACATTGATTTTGTATCCCGCAACTTGACTGTAATCCTTTATTATTTCTAAAAGTTTTTTAGTGGACTCTTTAGGGTTTTCTAGATATAAAATTATGTGTCTGCAAAGAGTGATAGTTTCACTTCTTCTTTTCCAATGTGGATCCCTTTTATTTCTTTTTCTTGCCTGATTGCTCTGGCTAGGACTTCCAATACTATGTTAAATAAGAGTGGTGACAGTGGGCATCCTTGTCTGGTTCCTGTTCTTAGAAGGATAGCTTTCAGTTTTTCTCCATTGAGAATGATATTTGCTGTGGGTTTGTCATATATGGCCTTTATTATGTTGAGGTATTTTCCTTCTATACCCATTTTATTTAGAGTTTTTATCATAAATGGTTGCTGTATCTGTCAAATGCTTTCTCTCATCTATTGAGATGATCATGTGATTTTTATTCTTCATTTTGTTAATGTGGTGTATCACGTTGATAGATTTGCAGATGTTGAACCATCCCTGCATCCCCGGAATGAAACCCACTTGATCATGATGTATGATCTTTTTAATGTATTGTTGTATTTGATTTGTGAGAATTTTGTTGAGGATTTTTGCATTGATGTTCATCAGTGATATTGGCCTGTAATTTTCTTTTTATGTGTTGTCCTTGTCTGGTTTTGGTATCAGGATAATGTTTGCTTCACAGAAGGAGTTAGGAAGCCTCCCCTCCTCTTCAATTTTTTGGAAGAGTTGAGAAGGATAGGTATTGGGTCTTCTTTGAATGTTTGGTAGAATTCACCAGGGAAGCCATCTGGTCCTGGACTTTTATTTTTCGGGAGGTTTTT